GTCTTTTTGTAATTGCTATAGAGCCTCTGGCACAAAAACTGAGAAATAATGTAAATATATTTGGAATTTTGATGAGTAATAGTCAACATAAGCTTCTATTATATGCAGATGATATGTTGTTACTTATGACCCAGCCTGGGAAGTCAATTGCAGCCCTATTAGAATGTACAGAAAGCTAGAAAGCGTCAACTGGAATAAATCAGAGGCAATGCCTATGTCAGGACACTGCCCCCATACTTTATTTAAACAGTGGGAGTTTTGGTGGTCCGTGAATGGTTTGAGGTATTTGGGGATACAAATGACCTCGGATTACACTAAGATGGTTCGAGCAAATATGGAGCCAATGTTTGAAAGAATAAAAATGGAATTTGGTAGATGCCCCAGAGTGCGTCTCACAATATGGGGTAAAATTAGTTGTATTAAGATGATGACTGCACCCATGATCTTTTATATTTTATCTAATATTCCATTACACATTCCAGATAAGTATTTCGAAGATCTAGACTTTTTGATCCGGCAGTTTTTTGGGGGTAGCTCACCGCATCGTTTAAGTATTAAGAAACTTCAAGCGAGTGCAAAACAAGGAGGTTTTTCATTGCCTAATTTCCAATGGTATTATTGGGTGATGAATGTGAAACAACTTAGAGCTTGGTTACCTACTGCACCAGTTAAACCCATCTGGTCCCATATAGAGACCGAAGTTAATGGCGGTATTTCTCCTTGGAGGGAGCTGTTTGATACCAGTCATAAAACTACCCATCCTATAATTGCAAATGCAAAGACATTGTGGTGTAAATTACATAGGGCAGGTTGCTGGGACTTTATTAAATCACCTTCGGCAACCTTATGGGGGAATAAAAGAATTTTAATTGGAGGGACATCAGTTGACTGGTTACAGTGGCGTAAAGCAGGCATCCTTAATGTATCAGATTTATTTGACTGTGGGACTAAATGTTTTTTAAGCTTTGATAAAATTGTGGAGTTATATAAGTTGAAGCGTAATCAATTCTGGAGATATGTCCAAATACATAGTTCATTATCGAAGTGGCTGGGAACCCCCTTGAGTTGTCCTGTGGGCAGCCCTGTGGAAGTCCTGCTCTCAAGATCATCCTTGGGTAAAGGCATTACCTCTAGGATTTATCACTTATTGCAAGAACGGTCAGCTGACCCTCTACTGAAAGTTAAGGGCTACTGGGCCCAGGACATGGCATTGGACATATCTTCAGTTGAATGGGATTCATGTTTTCAAAATGTTAATACTATGTATAAAGAAACAGGCAGTAGATTTATTCAACTTAAGATAATCCATAGGTGGCATCGAACACCACAACAATTGTATAAATGGAACCTGGCCCCTACGGACAAATGTTGGAGATGTGATGGTCAAAATGCTTCGATTTTACATATCTTATGGAGCTGTTCGGCACTTCGGGTTTGGTGGGAAAATATAATGGAGGTAATTTTCAGTGTTTTAAAAAGGAGATTTGGTATCTCACCAAAACTGTCCATACTTGGTATAACCACAGAACTTTCTGATGGAGATTTTTCCAGTTATACAAAAAGATGGATTATTCTGGCTCTTACTACGGCCAAACGGGTCCTGCTAAGACATTGGCGGAAAAAGAACCCCCTCCCTATGAAGAGTGGCTAAAGACAATGGCTAAGTTGGCATCTTACGAAAAAGTGACTTATGGTTTATTAGACAAATTGCATCAATATGATTGTATTTGGTCCCCCTTTACAAGCTGGCTTTCTGTAACTTGAAGAACAGAGGAGTAATGACAGAGTGGTGGTGTGGGGATTGGTGTGCAAAGAAAGAATAGGATAACTTCCCTTTGTTTTGGTTTTTGTTTTGTTTTTTTGTTTTGTTGTTGTTGTTGTGTTTTTTGTTTGTTTGTTTTTTTGTTGTTGTTTTGTTTTTGTTGTTTTGTTTTTTAAACTATTTATTTATGTAGTTATCCTTAAGTTCTGTTATTGAAGTTTAAAATGAAATAAATAAAAATTGTTGATGAATAGAAAGGGTAAAAATTGGAGGAAACCTCTGGGTTTATTGAATTGTTTAGATTTGTTCTGCATGGAGGTAAGTTGCAGGTCTTTTACTGGCACTAAAAGCAGGTGCTGGGTTGTCTGGGCCAAGGTTTGTCATGGTTAAGAGCTACTATCATTTCAAATGAACCGCAACAGCAGTGATGATAATAATTGTAGTGATTGCTATTGCAGTGAGGTCCATGAAAGTTTACTTCAGAGCAGGAGAGGCTAAAGAACTTACCGAAAAAAAGGCAAACCTAATTACTACGATAATAACTGTGAGTGATTACTAAAAGGGACCAGATGTAATATCAGATAATATCAGCTATAACCAATGTGAAACACACACAGTCATGCATGTGGCTGCAGACAGTCTGACATGAAGGGATGGACACACATACAAAACTGTTCACCTGTTTGGCTATGCCGTTTTCCCAGGTGCTCTCATATTTAATTCCATTTGGAAAGTACAGCACTCCTTTGCCATGGAACATTCCATCTTTCATCTCTCCCACATATCTTGTATTTGTAGGGAAGGTGTACTCTCCTTCACCTTCCATCCTGAAGCAGAGAAAAAACACACTGTTTTATGAACTGTGTTTGAGTATACGAGCACACACAAACACACGCACATATGCAAACACTGTGTCTGTGGCTCTTTTTCACAACTACGGCCAAACTACCTGCCAAATTTTGTTGCCCCATTGTAACTGCTTCCGATGTGCTCCATTAACACAATGTCCTGCTTTCTATGTAGGGTGGAAAAAGCATGCAAAGTCGATCTAAAAACTCTAAAAACTGAAAACAGCAGTGAAGTGGTATACCGTTACCATGGCAATGACGCAACAATACGACTGTTGAACAAGTTATTGGTTTCTACTCATCTAAAAAAAAAAAAACGTTTTCATAGTTTGTTGGATTTATTCATTTTTAAATAAAATATGATAAATGTCAATCCAATTTTATTTTCTTAAAAGTCTTTTTTCAGTGCGCATGCGGCTCCGCGTCGCTCTGTGAATTGCGTCATCAGAGCGCGGCCACTAGCTGACAGTAGCAGGGAAAGTTAACTGACCTTCTTTACGGCCTCGTCGCTCGCACTGGGGTCTGACGAGGACCTTGAATGTTTTTCACCAGCAGTATTTGAGCTTCTTGATTTCTTTAACTGCACAGCTACACAGTCATGCCCACAAAGCTGGAAGTCCCCACCTTGCAGGAGCTGAAGGTGGACGAGGTGAGCGGACATTATTGTTTAGCATGAATGAAGAAGACGGGACAAGCCGGCTAAGTAGCTAGCTGAAGGGATAGCTGCTGCACGGTTCATTTGAAAAGCTGTAAACTTTAAGCCACTAGCTTTACTTGCTAAGATAGTTATATTATATTGATGAATGCTATACATATGTGAGTGAATATTTACTATAGCACAGGAAGGTGTTAAATATTTCGGCGCCTTTATGATAACTGTTTTTGACAACAATATATGGCGTTAACTTGAGTCTTTTAAGTTTAGCAAATGTGCATTCAGAATGTACATTTGGTTATACCTGTCAAGGAGCTTTCGATTCCATTCGGTTCTTATACCAGTTTGTTGTAGCAGTGCTATTTGACATATTGAACTTGTCCTTGGAAGTCAGGTGATAGCTGTCAGCAGCAGCAGCCTGTGCCTGTCCAACAATAATAGCACGGAGGATATAATAAACGAGCCTGCACCATTAATTTAGATCTGTCCTAACACCGGGCACTTTATCAAGCTTTTGCTAAAGCATACTCTTTCAGCTTGTGAGACAAACTTTCTTTAAGTACAGTATGAATTTTGTTAAATACCTGGCAAGACCCCTGCAGATATTTTAAAGAGAACATGAAGAGAAGAATATAGTATATATACATATATTTATATGTTGTAGAAATGCACCAACATGTTTACCTTGTTGAAAGATTTTGATATTGATATTTGATACAGATAGTAAATTCACTTGTATAAGAAGTAGTGGCTGAACAGGGTCAGATAGAAGCAATGCTTGTATATGTCTGACCTGCATTCGTATTGTTAAAGCTGCCTTACCCTCCAAAAGAGAAGACACAAAGAAAACAGCTATATCATTAACTTATGTAGCCCTCAGAATTATTGTTGTAGATAATATAAATAATTTAAATGTAAATAGCGTCATTTTTACTACATAATTCAACACCAGCAACAGAGATTATTATTTAATCTCAGTTTTTTCTTTTACTTTAGCTTTTTGTATATTTAAATCCTAAAACTCTCACAAATAATGTTTACACTCCTGTTTCATTTGTGAACATTTGATTTCACCGTAAACATTATTTGCATTATTTTTCAAAAATAAAACAAATCATTATATTTCATAATGTGTCAAATGGCATCAATGGTAAACAGTGGTTGATGTCTGTTTTTTTTTTTTTTTTCCTCACATTAATTTTGTGCTGGCTAAATGTTTACATGTGGAGGGCGACGAGGAGATTAAAAAAAGTTCAGAAATAAATAGGCAAATGTTTTCCTTTGATAAAATGGAAATGCAAAACAAGTATATGCATGGGTTGGCTATAGCTAAAGTTTTATTATAACACTGACCAGGCCGCAATTTTACCATGGGGGCAGTGCTAGTAAAATATTCAAATTTTAAAAAAGCCAGAATTTGTGGGCTAAAGTGGTCATTTTCATGTTAGAATTTGTGCTTCTGTGTAGAGATTTGCTTTATAATGTATTATTTATTGTATAGGTTGTGTTTCTTATTGGACAAAAATAAACAGTCAACAGTTCAGATGCTCAAGGACATGTTTTCACAGTTTCACAGCAGAAACTCTAACATGTTGAGCGTGCCTGCTCTTCATGAGATAATAATGCATATAGCAGCTATAAATTAAATCACATTAGTAGTGATCACTACTAGAGATGGACCGATCCGATATTACGTATCGGTATCGGTCTGATACCGACCCAAATTACTGGATCGGATATCGGTGAGAAATAAAAAATGTAATCCGATCCATTAAATATCAAAAAAGCACCTCACAAAACTTGCTACATGGCGTAACTCGGCTCATAACCATAGCATGTCGCAGTAGTGTGCGTCACGTGATAGAGCGGCTGTGTGTATTTGTAGCCTCGCTACCAATCTGGCATTTCATCTCCGAGGAAGTTATCCCAGAGAGAAGTAAAGCAAGTGTGTAAGTTCATCTCTGAATGTCTGTAAAGCATTCCCACGTTAAGCTTAACAACAGATATATGGAGCGACTGCCTCTCTCTCTCTCTCTCTCCTGCTGCTACTTCAATCGTGAAACTGATTAATGATCAGCTGATCGGCTTTTCTGTCGCGAGTCTGTCTCTCTTCTTTGTTTTTGCCCCACTTCTCACCAGAAAGAGGAAACCAGTGGCTGAACAACAGCAGCA